TATATACCACGTAAATCTTATGTATTTAGCACCTATCACCCTCAATAACTTTTATCCATTGCAGCACGAGCCAGCAGCATTTTGTTAGTGCTGGCGCCTGACGTGACCAGCCCTATGACAGCGCTTTTAAGAACTGTTATATGTAATGATTAGGGATATCTTATGAGTATTATAGTAGCCATTTTAATTCCGTGAACTCATGAGCACAGATATTGTGTGGTTTCTCCTTTCTGTCTTATATTAGAACTCCTAATGTAAAATCATATCAACTTTAAACAGCTTTAAACAGGTTCGGTCCCATCATACATTAAATTATTTAGATTTTTATATTCAGTGGGATCGGACCGTACACACGGCGCATTATAATTAGTGACCTGATGTAATTTGCATTAAAACTTCTAATTTCGTGACCGATCTCCCTCCCTTTAATCACTTCCACCAACATCTATCCCATCTCTCTCATTGGATCTCTTCCTTCAATCCCTTCTCTCCCTCTACTCTACCACAGGCGACTTGACACCAAAATCCTTTCAATTTTTTTTTGTAATGGTTTGTTATAATGATATATTTGGATGTAGAAACCTTCAAAATATGCCCAAAATAGTTTTTTTTTTTTTGGTGAATTTTGTTTGTCAAGATTAATTTTATAATATTTTTTTGTCAGAAAATAAAATATAAATGATTTTTTTAATAATTACCGATAGATATTTATTGGCTGAAAATGCCTATTGTGATGAAATGATCTGTCCGCCAATATTTTTACACCAAGTTGAACTTTCTAAGCTTCAAAATCAAATTAAAATTTGAAACTTTTTTTGACCCAATCTCTTTTGGTTGCTCTCAAATCCATAAAAAAAAATAAAAATACTTAATAATATCGAGATATTTGTGAATCCAACAAAATTCTTATTTGTTAGCGAAGTAAAAAGCCAATACTATGCTTAACCAGAATGATAAAACCTCAATAAAAAATACACACACAAACAAGATTAAAAAGCATGCTCAATTTGGCATCAAACGCTTCTGAAAAAAATATTTAGTTCTAAATTATGATTGCTGCGGAATACAAAATTGTCCTTTAGATCAGATCAACTACACGTATGAATGAGGATTCTTGACTAAAAAATTTTGAAAAAGCCAATATGATAAAATGACCGAGTTCAAAGGGGCAATTTCAGGGAAGACTTTTAAAAATGTCCTTTTGCATGCATGCATGAATATTTTTAATGTAGCAAGGTTTTCATGGTGAGTATAGATGTTTATTGTTTTTTTGCTATCTATTGGGATTTAGTCTAATATTTTGACTTTCATTCTCAAAAATGTGCTGGAATAGTAAAACATAAAATAGGGGCATTTACATAGATAGCACACAATTCTTATGTATTTACAAATTACACGTCTAAACTTTCATTTTGACACACATATCATGTCACAAAGTACATCTCCTTGTAAATAATAAGCTATAAATTATAAAATAAAAAAAAATTTAATTTTTAATTTTGAATAAATAATTTTCTCTCTTTAAAATCCCTGCACCCATGAAGTAAAAAAAATAAACGGCAAAAGGACGTAGCATAATTACAACAGAAGAACTTTTAATTTAAGAAAAAACTTAATTTAAATTACATATTCATAGCTTCACTTTTCCTTGAAGAACAAACAAGACGTGGTACCAAACCTGACATTGCCACATGGCTTGCAGAATGGTGTCGCTTGTTGCTTCGACTACGCAAGGCTTGCACACGAAAGGTTGCCCTTCAGTTACCATTTCTACGTCCACTCAAAAGAGGTGATTGTTTTGTGCGCCGTTCGCTCGATTGCTAAAAAGTTTACCATGAAAAGTGTTATGTAACGACAAAAGAAAAAAAAAACATATATCTTAGAATTTAGTCGGACCCATATGGTCTGTTGGGGATAATTTTGTTTTTTAATGCTTTTTATTTGAGATCATCATCATAACTTTGCTTAGGGAATTTTTTTTTTTTTTTTGGTTGCTGTCAAGAAAATTCTTTAGTGTGAAATGGCTTTTTTTTAAATTGACCTATTAAGCTTTTATAATTCTTAGTGTAGTTTTCTAAAAGGTTTGTTTACCATAAAATAACTTTATAATTGTCTTTTTAAAAAGCTACCGCCACCACAAATAAACTCTTAAGCATAGTGCTTAAGATAAATTAGGTTAGCTTGTTAGTTGAGAGTTTGGTCTTTCAACTAAAAAAATCTCTATATTCAAAAACTTGCATATGTGATGTCAGTATGTCTAAATCGAGCGTAACCTTGATATTATTTTCGTTCAAAATTTTAAATTCGCTCAAAATTTTAAATTATTTTCCTTTAAATTTATCTAAAAAATTCTAAGATATTTGAGTTCAAGCACGAATATCTCTAGAAAAATATTCGTTCATTGGACACGAACCTTGATGCTTTTGGCATTGATCTCGAGGCATTTTGATTGAATTAAAAAAAAACCAAGAGCTCAGGTCTCAACAAACTTTGAGTCAAGCCGACCGGGTCTGTGAGAAGAATTCAGTGATACTAAAATTAATTTAATGCAAGTCAAATCAAGCACGGATAAAGTTGTTACACAACTTTTCGAGGCTTTATTGGTTATTTGGGGGTTAAGTGGACTTCAAATTTAACATGTTCATTGTCAAATCGAGCGTCTCAACGAGATGAATCCAACAAACTCAAGTTCATCCAACTGGGAGGTCATTAAGGCTATAAAATCATCCCAAAATCCCATTCGATTAATGGGAATCAACATAAATCATTCGATCGGGTGGTTTTGAGAGTTATTGGTCTAATGATCAAAATGTCACTCCCTTGGAGCCCATAAATAGACCCACTTTTTTCATTTGAGGGGGTAGGAAGGAGGAAGAAGAATGAGCCTAATTATAATGTTGTTCTGAACTGAAGATCAGACCAAAACTTCCAGTCTCTGTAGCCGCCAACTACCAACCACCAACCATGACCAACCACTGCCGCTCCCTTACTCACCATGAATGGTAAACTTAATAGAGTAATTAAAAGTTGTGAGGGAAAACCTATGTAATATGGGTGTATCTTCTAGAAAAATTCAATATTTTGGACAAGCTAGTACAATTTATTTTGTGATCTGAGGTCATTTGTGTGACCTCATCAGTTTTGAATATAATATAAAATTGAGTTATGTGTGTCACGCCAACATCTTTTCATTTTCCATTTGCTCACTCCATGCAATCATGAAGACCCTTTCTTAAGTAATTTGGATACTTAGAATGCTATGATTAAGTTACTCTTGCAAATGAGCATTATTTGAGTGACTTTGGTGAAGATTGAGATGATTCGAGTTTGAATTGCATGCATTGCACCAAACATTAATTGTTTTCATATTTTTACCATTTTAGTCATAGAAGTCTTTGCATGCATTGCACCAAACATTAATTGTTTTCATAGTCTTATCCTTGGGGAATTTTGACATTTCAAACATGCTCGCATGGTCTGTTTAAGATCAACCATATTTGAATGGTTTTGATGATGATTATGATGAATAGGCTCATTGTGGTTTATTATCACACCCGATGTTCGCCATCTTCATTAAATGAAGCAAATATGAAGGTTAAAAAGGTCCAAATAAAAAGCAAATAAATTATTATTTTATTGAATATGAAGAGAACAACAATGTCCCTCACCATTTTGATGCAGCATTTTTATAGCTAAAAGGAATTAAACACGTGAAAATACTTAATACATACCAATACTATTACTGCCCTTAATTTATGTTGCTCTTTCTTTGATAACATAACGACATCCCAAATGAGCAAACGATTCTCGTATATAGATCTTATTTCAAATCAAGCGATGGTTATTCCTGATTGGAAAAAAGAATTATAATAGACACACAACCTCATGAAGCTAATAGTATAGAAAATTTAAAAGTTTGCTTTTCATACGCTATTTATCTATCACGAAATTCAACATTTTTATCAGTTATAAATTGCACGTCATTATGCTCCATATTGCGTGAATTAAATGTCATTATTATGAATAGCTCGACCATGCTTGTCCACATATGGACTAAAGGGTGTGAGGCCTCAGCCCTTAATTTCAATAAGTTCAAATGACTACTCCCTGTAGGCGAGCTAAATTCCCTAGGCAAAGGATATTTCGTGCTTCCAAAGCGACCACTCCCTATAGGAGAGCTATGGTCCCTGGTAAACAACAGTCCAAACTCAATAGTAAGCTCGAGCGACTTCTCCCTATACTAGAGCTACAGTCAACAGGTGGAGCAAAGTCCAGACTTAGCAAGAATAAATTTGCATTTCTTCCCTTTGGCTGATTCATATGCATAACAAGTACAAACTTGACGGCCATCAAAGATAATTCAGGCATATATGATTATTACTTCTTTGTAATTGCCTTATGGGCTCTCTTCAAAGAAAGTCGAAAATCACAAGAGATATTGCATGTACATGTATCGTGTCATATAAATAGAGATCCTCTCCCAACTTCTAGGGGATGTTTTTCTAGAATCTCTCTCAAAGAAGTAAAGTTAGAGCTTTGGAGCACAGCATTTTTCTCTTCACTTTTGGCTTTTCAATTTTTTCCTAAGTTGTATGAGCTAACCGATAATAAGGAAACCGACTCCCTAAAAGAATTCAATAGCTAAAATTATAATTCTTCAATTTATTTCTAACAATATCCTACAGGTTCTAGCACACTTTTCTATCATTCGAACTACTAAAATTATTGTGTCGTTCTTTAGGTTTCATTTAATCAATCTAAAAAAAATGTTTATTTCTTAAATATAATATTACTCATATTCTAAATTGAAAATAATAATATTCTCATTTATCAAATCGACCATGTATCTATAAAAAACATCTGGCAGGCCATAATAATACCTTGTATAGTTTTTGAAAAGAGGATAGTTTTAATATACGAAAATTAATTAATAATTCTGATGTTAAACAGAATGAACCATAAGATAGTTGATCGGTTGCATGCCATCGACAATACAAATTTAACCTTCTTTTATTTATTTCATTCGAGAAAATTGAACCCAAGGGCAAACAAAATGCACTAATCAAATATGCAACCTCATGGAGAAAAACTAACTGCACAAATACTATGTCACGGGAAAATGGGCGATGGAGATTTAACGAGCAATACATTTCTCTCCAAACTATCCACAATTGTCAACTTCCAGGAGCTTCAAGATCATCTTCCTTTACTTCCATGAACCTCTTCCAGAACCAATGCTTTTTCCAAACTCTCTTCTCCATCTCATCAATGGGCACCCCTTTCGTCTCCGGCAAGAGAAACAGTACAAAGAACCCCATTACCACAGTCCAACCGGCGAAGAAGAAGAAAGTGGCGGCCTTCATTCGGCAGAGCATCAAAAAGAAGCACTGCGCTATTAGGAAGGTGCAGATCATGCTTATATTTATAGAGCAGCATAAACCCACCGTCCTCGTCTCAAGCGGAAATATCTCGCTGGGTATTAAAATGCAGAGAGGACCCCATGACCATGCAAAGCTCATCACATAGAGGCACACCAGTACGACAACACAAATACTCGTGCTTGTGTCCAGGGCGTTCGTCCCGTTCAGCTTCGCCATCAAAATGCCTCCGATTGCAGCCTGTAAAAAAGTTGGTCATTATTCTGATTTATGGATTTTGTTAACTCTGAAGTGATGCGAGGTATTTTACACATGTTGATAAGAATAAAAAATTTCATTTTAAGAATCATTCAATCAGCATTAAAGTTTTTACATTGATTAGCTTTATTAGAGCATAAATTTAACTCGATTATCAAGATTAAAGCTTAGTTTTACATGGCTTTTAAAAATATAGTAGGAATTGAAACCTGTGTGATGAACATTTGCAAGCACCCTTCAAGCAGCAGCAACCTTCTCCCTGCTCTATCCACCAAGACAATAGACACAATTGTGGCAATCACATTAACTGCACCGATTATCACCGTTGAAAGCAGCGAAGCCTGGCTCTTCAATCCCACGGTCTCAAACAGCATCGGCGCGTAGAACATGATTACATTTATCCCTGTCAACTGGTTAAATATCATCATCGCCAGCGCGATCACCAGCTCTGGCCGTCTGGACCGCTCAATCAGCCGTCGATAAGGCCGGTCAACCAATCCAGCTACCATGCTGGATTCGACTATTTTTTCGTACTCTTCGGTGACTTTTGTAGTTCCTCTTATCCTCTGGAGGACGGCGATGCCTTGTTCGACCTGGCCGCGATCGATGAGGCTTGTGGGTGAATCGCTGATGTAAACAGAGCCGAAGCAGAGGATGACGGCCTGAACGCCGGCAAGGCTGAGGGAAAGGCGCCATCCCCATGGGTGAAGCTTGACGGCGAATAAGTTCACTATTTTGGCGATTAGGATGCCGAGGGTGATGTTGAGCTGGAAAAGGATGTTGAGGGCTCCACGATATTTCGGAGGGGATATCTCAGAGATAAACAGAGGAACTGCCTGCAACGTATAAGATATTCCAATGAATATGAATCGTTTTAGTATTTTTCCAAGATATCTAAAATAAGAGAAACTTAATTCAATACATACATACATACATACATACATACATACATACATAGATATATATATATATATATTTCTACCGTATACCATTTGAAAATTTCTTTTCGTAAATTTATCCCTCAAGAGAAACATGTATAAATGCAATATAATTTTTTTTTGTATTGGAGGTCTCTATGTATAAAAAGAGTGGAGCCAACAAAGAGACAATTTTGGGCCTTCCATTGGTGGACAATTGTCAAATACCTCTTAAAAAAATTAGAAAAAGTTGAAAAAAAAAAAAAAAAAAAAAAAAGAAGAAGAAGAGAGTAAGTGAATTTTTCCTCTCGAAGGGGTATTCACTATTGAAAAGTATGAGTATTGTATAGCAATCACATTAGCAACACTACTTGCATGCATGTGCTTCCACTTGTGTACATGTGAGAATTTGTGCAGGCTATTGGGATATAATATGAGTGTATTATGAAAATAAGAAATAATGAAGCACAATTAAATAAATAAAATAAAAGTAATGAGATTTAAATAGTCTGAGAGGAAAGTGAGACAATAACACTATCTTTAGAGTAGATTGAGAATTGAGCGCATCAATTTGAGACTATTTCTTCTACACCGGAGATAGAAACCATCCCCTTATTTTAATTTCAGGAGCGCCATGACTAATTAGCAAAAAATCGTACTAATTGTGCTGTAATAGCCAAAGAAGGAGAGAGTTGATGAAAGCAAAAATGATAAATATTATTTATGCTTTATAGATGTTAATGGATGTTATTTTTAGTTATAAACTTGTTCATTTAACAATATTTAATTTAATTTATATTATATATTTTAATACTCATATTTTTTATTATTAATAATGTTAATCTTAATATAATTTAGTAATAATATTATAATTTTATAATTGTAAAACATTAAAGCGTTATTCCTATGTTCTTTTTACCTACATTAAGCTTCTACATATAGTTTTTAGCAATTAAAAAAATTAAATTCTTTTCTGTAAGTTATGCTCTGGTTAACATGCTGACTTCAAAAAATATGAGGAATTGATACAGCTCACACAAACAAAAATAATAGCATGAATATTTCTCTAATTTTTGCTATTAAAAGTGGTATTTAATAGCAAAATTTTTAAAAATATTGACAGAGAAAACTTTTTATAATAACATATATTATTTTATTTTTGGCGTTATTTGGCTAGTATTTGGTTTCACATTAAACAGAATTTATCAAATTCGGCTCATACGTAACGACAGACATGATGCGCGAGGTCCCATAAATCTGCCTCATTGGTATATGATGGAGGTAATATAAAGAAATTGATGGAAGACGATAGATTTTGAATTAACGAGCGTTGATTTATTTTGTTTTTTGACGGGATTTAAGTTAAATCCATGGAATGTAGTGATATTTCTTTCCCGCGTGTATCATTGCTGTTTATAAAGTCATTTCAAAAGAAAGCATTCCTCTGGAAAAACGAAAAGCAAAACTGAAAACCTGCGCGCTGAATCCTTCGCCCGTGCCGACGAGCAACCTGCCAAAAATGAGCATGGCGAGGTTGACGGATGCGGCGCTGAGAACGACGCCTATGAGATGGAAGAGCGAAGCCAACTGCATCGTCACCTTGCGACCATACTTGCTGCAAATTCTTGACGCCGCGAAGCTTGAAAGAAGACAGGCCAAATATAGATGAACATCTGAAGCATCTGGTTGTCATACTTGCAGTAATTGTCTTCCTTAAATGCCCCTCTCTGTTTCCTGTACACCGACGGAAAGAACTTCTCCAAGAACTCTTCCATGGAAGTCACACCTCCTGCATGAAAAGAAATTTCAAAATAATTAAATTGGGTAACGATATTAATGCAATATGAATTTTTTAAAAAGATGAACTTTGATAAAAATTCATAAGATTCGACTTAGGTTGACCTGAAATTCCGATATCATATCCGAATAATAGGCCTCCGGTGGCTGCGAATAAGCTGCAGATCATTACATAACTAGTGATTTTTCCACCACCATCTTCTCCGGCGCTATCTGACACGTCCATGTCTGCGGCAGCAGCCGGCATATTTTTCATTTTTTCTGGGCTGGCTTACGGAGAAAAGGCCAATCTTTTTTTTGTGATTTTGTAGGTAAACAAGCAAGTATTCAGAATTTTCTTATATAGAGGGAAAAGCCGCCTCCTCCAATTGGAAAACGATGAATTGACGGTCCGTATCATTAGTTGCATCAGCTATCCACCAACATTATAATAATGCTTTCTTAACCCGATATTTTCAAGCAAGATGAAATTTATTCCATCCATCACTCAAAAGAAATAGAGATAAATAATAATTTGTGTCTTTCTTCCCAAAAAAAAAGATATTTTTATTCATAAGAAAGGGTTTATAATATTGACTTTAATTTTTTACCCCTCTATTAAAGGGATTATATAGGATATTCGTGGTATTTTACATGTATGAGCTTATCGCTGGACTGCTTTCTAGCTCAGCTGGTTAAGCCTGAGTGGCTTCAGATTGACAGGAATAGTTTGATTGACTAGACTTGATCGACATTAGTGTTCAACTGATCTAGTTTGGTTGTCTGCTCAAGTTTGGTTCTCCTATTATTTCTGTAAGGATTTGTCACTATCAAGGTGATCTTTATTGACAACAAATCTGCTACTACACCCACAAAAAATATTTTGTTGAGTGTGGGCCTCTCGGGCATGAAACACAATAAGGTCGAGAGGATGGCAAGCTTGACAGAGTCAAGTCAATGTTAAAGTGAGGCTTCGATGGAGCGTCAAGAATGAATATCAGCCATAGCTTGATCAGCTGCTCCTTCATCAATCTTTCTATAAGAGATGAAGACTCTGCAGCTGTTTTGCCGCGGTGTGGCACTAAGACGCAACTTTATGTCGTTTGGTGCTACTTATATGTGGCAGGACGCGATTCAAGTCGAACGTGGGACGCGAGTAGTACTCCATGGTCTGGCTATCTCACGTGATTTTTTGCCTCAATTACCCCCACACAATACATTTTGGTCTCTTTGGTCTCTTCGTCCCTCTCAGATTCTGCTGCGAAGTTCACCTCTGCTTCTGCTCTCAGATCTTGAAACTCTGTCTATTTGAACGGTTCTCTGGTGCTGCAAGTATACGCTTCCGGTGAAGATTCTCAGCTTTGTGCTCTTTTGGGAAAAAATTGATGTTCGATTGCGGTTGATTTTGTTTTATTTGGTGGCTTGGATTGGTTGTTCGAGTGAGAAAAGAGGTTGTGCTGGGGGTTAGGGTTTCTATTTAATGGTATTTGTTGAAGGGATTAGTGATGAGGGGAGTGAACGAGCATGATAGCTTAGAAACAGTGACTGCAGCTACGAACGCCATTGCTTCGGCAGGGAATCGAGTTCAGTGGGGGTAGGTTTATTCTATTTGATGATGGAATTTATGGTTTCATTAGTGTATCATTTTTTTTTACCTGAATTAATTGAGAGTTTAGCTAAAGGTGTTGGTTCTGTTGAAGGAATTAATTATTTCTTTTTTTTGTTTAATTTTTCAGTTTTATTTGTGTTATCTTTTGAACTTTTAACATTCAGACAAATTGCCCTTGATAGAGAATAAAAAAGAGACAAATTATATTTTGATTGTTTTTAGTCTTGGTGAATGTTCACATATTTACTTGTTTAGCTCATAAAGTAACTGACATGCAAGCTCGTTGTTCATGGATTGACCTCACACCAGTATTGCAAATGAGAAGATAGTTTATGATATTTTGCCTTCTATGATGAATGAAAATTTTCACATGGATAGACCTAACTTTCGAGGTTCACTATCACTTCATTGGTGTATTTGAACTTGTTGCTCTGTTTAGAAATGAATTTCTACTTCTGAAGTTTCAAAAATATAGCTATTACAGTTTTCTTTTAAACAGTTTTACCAAACAGGGGCAGCATGGTTATTTTTCCAGTAACAGCTTCCCTACAGCTATTTTCACACAGCTGCACCAAATAGGCAATTAGCTTCCCCGCAGCAACTTCCTGGGGCAGCGCAGCTGCAGCTGAAACGCTAAGAAGCCGCAACAGCGCAAAACAGACCCGGAGTTAGTCGTCCTTTTCCGGTTGAGCCCCTAGCCAAGAGGCAGTGTATCATAAGGGGAAAGCACCTGCGACTGATCTGAGTATGTAGCCTCCTCCCTCATCTTAGAAAAAGCATACGAGCTCTGCACTTAGGTGAGTTCAAATGCAAGATGAGAGAGCGAAGGTGAGCATAAGCTCAAACGATTGTTTTTCCTTAGTTAATCCTAAGAAAGATTGGTTTTCTAGCTCCCCCATTACGACTTTTTACCCTTCAACCTTAGTTGATGTCATCCAATCTCATGTCTATGAGAGGCCTTATGGAGCACAACCTATCGAGCTTAGGTCGAATGACCAATAGACATCATTTGATGGCTTACGAGGCTTCTAATTCAATAGAGAGTCTCTCTCCTGGAACACGAAGAATGATTGGATGTTCAGGAAAAGCTGGCTATGATCAGGAGAGACAAAGGTAGTGGAAAAACAGGTGGCACTAGTTGGAGCTAAAGCATTCAGGTAATTGGAACCAAGCTCGCATTTTCAAAATGCCCTACACAAAAATGTTGGCCCAAATAGGCTATAAGTTTTCATTTTATTTCTAACAACATGCTACATGTTCTAGCATAATCTTCTATTACTCAAATTGCTAAAGTATTGCATTGTTGTTTAGGTTTCATTTAATCAATCTAAGAAAACAATTTATTTATTAAATGATATATAATAAATTATATAATATTAATCAAATTCTAAATTGAAACTAATAATATTTTCATTTATCAAATTGACTTATATATCTATAAATAAAATCTCGTAGGCTATAGTAATATTTAGTATAGTTTTTGAAAAGAGAATGGTTTTTGTATATAAAAAATTAATTAATAATTGCCAATGTCAAGCACAATGAACCCTAAGATAGTTGATCGGTTGCATGCCATCAACAGTCTATATTGAACTTTCTTGTCTTCATTTTTTTCAAGAAAATTGAGCTCAAGGGCAAACAAAATGCAATATTCAAATATGTGATATTATGGTTATTGTGAAAAAACGACAACAATAATGATAAAATCTGGATCGAGAAAATTCATAAAAACAGAAACACAACAAAAACACACAAATTTACGTGGTTTGGTAAATTGTCTACGCTCACGGAGCTGTAGAGGATTTTATTAGCTTGAGAAATTACACCCGTCGATCACCTTAACAATTTCTAGAAACTCTCTCCCTCTCTCCCTCTCTCCATCTCTCCCTCTCTCCCTCTCTTTCCTCTCTCTCCTCTCCTTCTCTTTCTCTCTCTAAACCGAGAGCTACACCGATGAAGAAGACAAAGGGAACAACAACCTTCATGCCAAGGAGACTTTATGCTCTTCTACAATTTTCCGTTTGGTTCTCACATCTCATGCATCAAGCACCCTGAGCCAAGGAATCCTTCTTCTACTCATTTTAATAAATGATGGCGGGACCCTCTTCTGGAAATAGGAGAGGCGGGATAGAAGTAGATTAACTTAGGAAAGGAAGAGATTAAACCTTGCTGCTTCAATTCCTGTCAAATAAATCCATCTTCTTCGACCCATATGAGGTAAGCTTCACCATAATTACCATTGCTAGAGAGAGAATTTTTGCGGGACAAAGATACATGCACGGGAATCAGAGATAAAAAGAAAACAAATATTAACTTAAAAAGATAAATGATATAAAAGAAATTAAATTAAATACAATTTAATTAACTTCCATATATGTTGAAATTTTTAAATCAAATTATGGATAGGGCTCCACAATACTTAACAATTCTCCCACTTGGAGACTGGAACACTGACTACACCATCCTTTTCCTCAAACATGATATCCTCCACCTCTGCAATTTAAAGCTCCTGTCTTCAAGCTAGAAGACCAACCAAAGTTTAACACAACTTCAATTTCTCAAAAGTAACACCCTTAGTTAACATATCAAAGTCAACATGATCTTGTACCTCCAAGCTCTTTCCTGGGTTACTCATGTTTTGCTTGCAACTCCCACTGCATGAGAAATATCCTGCCTTTACTTAAGGCCTTTTTCAACAAGTCAAGCTTTATACCTCTTACTCACTTGTTGTGCAATACCTTTTTCACTGGTAGAAGTTCTACCAGCTCACAAGTCTGATTCCCTAGCAGGGAATTCATCCCCTCCTTTTTAGTCAGCTCCCTCTTCCTCGAATTTTCATCTTACAAGATTATTTTATAACTTTAACTCATGTGACCAAGCCTGCAATGTCGCAGATTTGTCGTGCTCTCTGCAATTGTACTGACAACATTGTTAAGGAAACCTGTAATCATATATAATGAGTCAGTTTTCTTACCTCGAGCTAGTAATAATGTTGTTTTGATAACCTTCTATATCTTGTCTACGAACACTACTGAATGACCACTCTCATTGAGTTGCCCAACATAAATGAGGTTTTTCTTCAACTCAGAAATGTGTCTGAACTTTTGTAGAGTCTATTTCCTCTTGATAGGGAGTACAATACCAATGTCTCCCATCACCACGTATAGAGCTCTTCCATCATCCAGATATACCTTCCCAAAGTCATTTGCAACATAGTTTCACATTAACATGTGGTGGGAAGATGTATGGAAAGAAGCTCCTGAATTTAGTATCTAGTCATCAACAGAATTGTGAACTGTCAGCAATAACACATCTTGTATTTCTTCAGTTACAATATTAGCGCTATCATTCTCCTTCTTGGGATTTCTGCAGTCCTTCTTTATGTGGTCAGCTTTGCCACAATTCTGACAAGTTGTCTGCTGACCAGACTTTGATTTTGATCTTCCTATGTTTGAGTTCTTGTTCTGTGATCTTCCTCTGTAATCAACATTAAATGCAAAACTCAAACCCGAAGTCTCGCTAAAATCTTTCCTGCGCACCTCCTCAGCCAAAATTAAATCACAAACATCATTAAAGTTCAATTTAGATTACCTATAGAACTGCTAACTGTCATCCTCATGGCTTCCCGGCAATTTGGCAATGAAGCCAACAATATCAACACACGTATCTCATCGTCAAAATCAATTTCAATAATCAATTTCAATAGCAATTTCAATAGATGACAATTGATTTGTGATGGTATTGAAATCATTTAGATGTTGAGCAATCAAG